GAACAATTTTAGAACATGAAAATTGGTATCCGACGATGGAGGGCGCATCCCGAAATCACATTTGACTGTTTTCATCGCCTACATCTGGCAACCCTGGCAGCTACGGCGGGTTAAAGATTTAATGCCCACTGTTCACGTTTTGGACTCTAGCTCAGTCACTATCGCCGCTAGGAAAATAACAAAAACTGCGTTGGATGCGCCAATAGGTGGGCTACATAGGTCTTAAGTTGAAATTTCAAAATTCAAGATGGCGGCTTAAACTGTGGCCATTTTATCTAGAACATAGATGATTTTTCACTACTTTTACTTTATAGAGCTGATTTTGGCGTTTTTGGTAACATTTTTAAGAATACTTCTAACAAAAAATATGTATTTAGCTGAAGTGTTGCCAGATGAAAAAAAATCTGTAAATTTTTTATACCGAGATTTTTGAGAAAATTTCATGTATGTCATTTATGAAAAATATTTAAATATCATTTTACAATTATTTCACTGTTTAACAAAATTTTTACTGTTGCATTTATAACATAATTTATGGAATAATTTGAGTGATCGACTAGCAACACTGATAGTAGTCACCATATAAATTTCAGAATGATTCTGACCGAGCTCACGATTCTGAAGCTTTGCATATATAGACCGTTTGTGTATCTTTACTCAATCTTTACGTGGTGAGAAAAAAATTCCACTATTTTAGCCAGCACAATAAAGCGAGCGAGACATTGTCATTCGGTAAGATTAGAACTGTGACTAAAACAAAAAGCGAGCGAAGCGAGCCATAAAGGGTGACCATTTCGAGAGATTTTATTAATTGGTAAGGTTACAACTGTGACTAAAATAAAATGCGAGCGAAGCGAGCCATAAAGAACACCATCAATAGAAATCTGATCAACCATTTAGATTAGAACTGTGAATAAAACAAAAGGGTTATGTTAGCACTGTGACTAAAACAAAAAGCGAGCGAAGCGAGCCATAATGAGTAACCACTAAGAGAGATTTGGTTAATTGATAAGGTTAGTACTGTAACTAAAATAAAATGCGAGCGAAGCGAGCCATAAAGAACACCATCAATAGAGGCCTGGTCAATCAGTTAGATTAGAACTTTCAATAAAATAAAAAGCGAGCGAAGCGAGCCATAATGCTAGACCATTAAGAGAGACCTGATCAATCGATTATGTTAGCACTGTGTCTAAAACAAAAAGCGAGCGAAGCGAGCCATAAGGAGTAACTGTTAAGAGAGATTTGGTTAATTGGTAGGGTTAGAACTGTGACTAAAGTAAAATGCGAGCGAAGCGAGCCATAAAGGACACCATCAATAGAGACCTGGTCAATCGGTTAGATTAGAACTGCGAAAAAAACAAAAAGAAAAAGCGAGTGAAGCGAGCCATAATAAATGGAGACCTGGTCAATCGGTTAAGGAACTGTGACGAAATGTGCTTATAGGTGTGCTATACTGAGGCTGAAATTTTAAAATTCAAGATGGCGGCTAAGACAGCGACCATTTTATTTAGAAAATGTATATATTTTTCACGGTTTTTACTTCATAGAGCTGATTTTGGCGTTATTGGTAACATTTTTCAGATTACTTACAGAAAAAAAATGTATTCAGTTGAAGTGTTGCCGGATGATAAAAAAACTGTTGTTTTTTGTTACTGTGATTTTTAGGAAATTTTCTATTGAATAAGAATAAAATAATACAAGGTGATTTATACAACATTTATTTTAAGTTTTTCTTACATTTTTCAACTGAATATTTCTTTTTATATTGCGTGTAAACTGGCAACCTTTTTTTATGTATGATGTTTTGCGTACTTAAAGATCTTTTATTTCAAGATAGAACTTACTAACTTTTTCTAGGCAATTTTATACTGTAAACCCAACATAACAAGAGGCGGTCTTAAAACTCCAATATCTGTATTAACTAAATATTAATTACTTTTGAATAAGATTAAGAGAATAAATGACTACAAGCCGATCTATTCCAAATTTTATTTTAGTTTTGCTTGCGTTTTTCGAATGAATATTTCTTTTTCTATTTAGTGTAAACCGGCAACACTTTTTCTTTGAAGTATGGTGCTTTGTGTACTTAAATATAATTCATTTGAAGATAGAACTCACTAACTTTTTCTAGACAATTTCGAACTATAAACATAACAAGAGGCGGACCTAAAATCCCACTGCTCTGATTCCATAAGCGACTCGTTTATGCTCAAGAACTTTACAATAAGAAAGGCAACAAAAACTTGTATAGGTTTATAATGACATATGGGTTAGGTTAGGTTAGTGTATGAAAAACAACGCACGAGCCGAGCGAGCGTAGCGAGCGTGCCGCGGCAGCGGCCGGCGAAGTGCCAGAAACGAATCGCTTTTGTTGATGGTAACATTTGGTTTATAATGTTTAAAAGATGATCGTGACCATTTTAATTTCAATTTTGATTTCGATGGACTTGACAATTCGGGATCTTTATAATGAGAGACTATAATTTATTTGGAGTTTTGCTTGCGTTTTTTGAATAAATATTTCTTTTTCTGTTAAGCGTAAACTGGCAACCCTTTTTCTTTGATGTATGGTGCTTAAACACCTTTCATTTTTAGACAGAACTTACTAACTTTTTGTAGGCGATTTCAAACTATAAAACAAACATAACAAAAAAATCGAAACACTCAAATTCTGCAACGGAGGCGGACTTAAAACCCCACCGCCCCGATTCCTCTAGCTACTCAAGACCTCCCCGGGCTGCTGGGCGAAAGCTTCTATTCTGAAACGAAGGCGGACTTAAAACCCCATCGCGTCGTGAAGTTATCTATTCTAATATCTGGCCATGACATCGGTTCCCTTTTCATATAATAAATAAATCTTACATAAATAATGTAATGTAATAATGTAAATACAATAAATACTATTTCTTGACATTTAATTGATTAATTAATGATAGTAACACTGATGGAATAAATATATGTTCGATTGTTTTTTAATATTATACAGTAATTTAGTAATAAATTAAAATAAGAAAAGACAAAACTTATTTTAAGTGTCTATACAAAATTTATTTTAAGTTTTGCTTGCGTTTTTCGACTGAATATTTCTTTTTCTATTAAGTGTCAACTGGCAACACTTTTTCTTTGATGTATGGTGCTTTGTATCCTTTAACACCTTTTATTTGAAGATAGAACTTACTGACCTTTTCTACGCAATTTCAAACTGTAAACCCGACATAACAATAGGCGGACTTGAAACCCCACCGCCCCGATTCCACCAACTACTCGTGACCTCCCCGGGCTGCTCGCAGCCCGGGGCAACCAAGCGAAAGCTAGTTTATATCTACTTTTTTAACATTAGGTAGTACAAATTTTAAGCATTTTGTTTTTCCTTCATTAAGGAGAAGATTATTTACATTAAACCAATGTACTACTTTAGCGATAGAATTGTTCACATCGTCATTTAGAGGTAACCCTCTTTTAATTTTAAACAAGAGTGAAGTGTCATCCGCAAACAAAACTATTTCGTGATCATCCCTTACGAAATAAGGCAAGTCATTTATGTAAATCAAAAACAAGAAAGGACCAAGTATTGAGCCCTGCGGAACGCCCATCTTAATTTTCGATCCAGGGGATCTTTTGCCATTGATATCAACCCTCTGTACTCTGTCAGTCAAGTATGAGACAATAAAATCCAATGAGTTATCTCTAAATCCATAAAAATGCAGTTTCCTAATCAATGTTTCATGAAAAACACAATCAAATGCCTTAGATAGGTCACAGAAAACACCTAACGCATCATGTGAATCCTCCCAGGCATTAAAAATTTCTTGTATTAACTCGACACCGGCTTCGGTTGTCGAGCGACCCCTTGTAAAACCAAATTGTTGTCGATTCATAAGCTTATTCTTGTAAAAGTACGTTTGTATTTGATCCAGCATGATTTTTTCAAAAATCTTACTAAACGTAGGTAGCACGGATATAGGTCTAAAGTTAGTAGGGTCAGATGTGCTACCCGATTTATGTAAAGGAATAATTTTACTATATTTCATGAGCTCAGGAAAAATACCACAATCAGTACATTCATTAAATATATAAGCTAAGATTGGAGCTATTGTCTCAATTACCGATTTAGAAACTTCAATGGAATTACCCCATAAATCAGCAGTTTTCGTTTTCTTTAGCTGATTAAAAGATTTTATTATATCTTTAAAATCAATGTGTTGAAACTTAAATTGGCTATTAGAATTATTTAAACTTGCCTTTAAAATAGATTCAGCAACAGTGGAAGAGGAATTCAAAGATTGTGTAATTAAGACTGGAATTTCAGTAAATAAATTTTCAAATACTGTAGCAACTTCAAGATCTGATGTTACTTTTTTATTATCAATGTTTAAATTAAAATTTATATTCCGGGATTTTTCTCTTCCAGTTTCACTATTTATGATATTCCACGTCATTTTAACTTTGTCTTTACTATTTTCAATTTTTGCATTTAAATAATTACATTTGGCTAAACGACACACTTTTTTAAATAACTTAGAGTAATTTCGTACATATTCTTTGAAGTCCTCACTTGTGTTATAATTACGTTCATCATATAGTTCATAGAGCCTTTTTCTGCTTTTGTAGATTCCTGGTGTAGCCCACACACTAAAAGTTATAGGATTACTAATACTTATTTTTTTTGGGACAAAAATCTTATTGAATTCTGTACAATAAACATCAAAGAAATCTTTGTACAAATCATTGGGATTACTATTATGTTTCAAATGATACAATTTAGTAGAAATGAATTTTAATGGTCTGAGCTGTTCGTTGCTTTAAATACTTCATAGTACGTGGAATTTAGCAACTTTTCACTTGGAATATGAGCAAGGTACGCGATGTTGGTTCATATTTAATAATGCATCATTAAAATTTCCAAACATCCATACATAATATAAAAACTTTTGAATGGTATGTAATACTTCTCCGTGGAATTAAATTCGCCATTTGTTTTTTGACATTTCTATTTGGCTATGAAGATTAAATCTACAGTACTAGGCCTCAGTCAGCAAACCATCAAATTTTTAATAGAGAAAAAGTTAATCCAATTTATAGACTACCTATATGTGAAATTTCATCAAAACACCTTCAAATTGTCTTTGCGTGCATTATTGAATGTATATTCATTTTTATGATCTACCAGGAATCCACGTCTGCGTACCTTTTATTGTCTTTACTAATGCATTCGTAGTAGTTGTAAATTTGGGTCCACTAACTGATACATTTTTGTTTCAGAAGATTCTGCGACAAACGAAGAAGGTTCAGCAGGTGGCTCGCCGCATCCACGCAGTCCCCCCCGCGCTGCCACACCACCCTCCCCTTCTCGCTCCTCCCCCCGCTCCCCTCGTCTCCATCCAGCACTATACCCCCAACCACAAGACGCGCAAGACTCGGATCCTGACGTAGATGAAAGCGACGACTTCGATAAAGATGAGAAACGTGACCCCAATGCCAACCTAGGTAAAAGAAAGAAGAAAACTCGAACAGTCTTCTCGAGATCACAAGTGTTCCAACTAGAATCCACGTTCGATATGAAACGATACCTTAGTAGTTCCGAGCGCGCCGGCCTCGCGGCGAGCTTACATCTAACAGAGACACAAGTGAAAATATGGTTTCAAAACAGGCGTAATAAGTGGAAACGGCAGTTGGCAGCTGAATTAGAAGCAGCAAATATGGCGCACGCAGCTCAGAGACTCGTACGTGTACCTATATTGTACCACGAGTCGAGACCCACTACGATGCCTCATACTCCTTTGCCAATTCATCCCCAATTTTCTAATGAACCCGGTGTCTACTTCCCATCTCAAGCACCGCAACAGCTACAACCGCTTCCTGCGTCACCGGTGACGTCACGAGCCCCACTTTCCAGTCTAGTGTAGTGTTCGCTTGAGACCGCGCGACGAACAGACAGTGCGGATGGACAATTTTGAATATCGAACGCAAGTGAAATGACTAGTCACATTCCAAAGTCAAAATCATACAGAGTTCGACCATATCCAAATTTAGTGTTGCCAAATTAAGAAAAAATAGGCAAAATTATATCAAAATCATGTCACTCTGTAATTTTTGTATAGGTATAATAATAAGAATTGAATTAATAAAGCTATAATCATGTACTACGGTTAGTTGAAAGAATTCACCCCAAAAGATCGTTTAAATTATTACATTAAATTTATAAATCCTACATAGAAATGATTGAAAATCGATTATATTTAATTAAAACAAAACATTTTTTTCTTTTAATAAACCGTAGTGTGTAGATTTACTTACATAGACGATATGGAAATAATAAAAAAAGTAACGTACAAAAAATCAGTGTCATACCAAGTTGTATATAAAATTGTAAATAAGATAATATGTTCTACGATATAAATTTCTGTGTATTTATTTCATAAGTTTAGATAATTTTGTAAATATTAAAAAGAACTGACTATAAGCTTTTTTCTATAAATGATACCGATTTCTTATCTATTAATGTTTAAGATAATTATTTTAATTATACTGACAAACAAAATTATTTGTTTTTAGTTTTGTTCGTCAGTGTTTTTATTATTAAAAGTTCTCCTAACCATGTTTTTTATAATTATCTTTATATTTTGACACTTTTTCGAAAGAAATAAAGCTAATATATTTATATGACAAGCTGCAAATCAATACTTTGTATAGTATGATTTGGTTGTTTCGTTAAATGTTGAAGAACTAATTATGATTTAATATACGACCATATCAAAAATACATATTCTTTTAAATTCAATAAATAATTATATTAACATAATATTGTCGGGGCAGTACGATGACTTCATCTCGGCGGCGCCGGCAGTAAATTTGTACCATATTATTGTAAAAAAAGTAACTGTGTTGCCATGTTGCTTCAATGTAATTCTGTAATATTGCTAGCCTAAATAAATTAATGATGCTTAATTCTAAATAATTAATGTTATTTATTGATAGTAGTGAAATAATATTCGTCATTATGCAATTATAATATTATAATTATGCTGAGATAAGGCGAATAATAAAATGAAATCTGGAATTATTTGTGCGTATTTATTAACCTTTGTAAAGTCAACGGCAAGTAAGGTTATAAAAAAATCAGTAATTTACTCGTATACTAACAAAATAGGCTATAAAATAAAGCGGTCGGATTTGATGGTTTTCATTTACTCTGAAATTACTGGCCGATTTTAAAAACGTACTGAAGTTACATCATATGAGGACGGTATAGGTTATAATATACAATGGCGAAATTGCGGAAAACAAATTGTATATGTAATAAAAAATTATGAAGTCAGCCATTATATACAAAATAGCAAATTAATTTAGTTTCTTGTATGTAGTACCTACTAAGTATTGAATCCATAATTTAACATCATTGAAAAGCTCATTTTCTTAAAAATGTTTATAATTTTCTATTTCTTTAAAAGTGTTATTTGTTTATATAAATATTAATTTAAATCAGTTCAGTCTAACGATATATTTAGTTGCATTTTATTAGTAATAGTACTTCGCCATGTGTTATCGTTTAAGATAATAATCAGTACATGGTCATTGTTTAATATATAGTGTGATAAGGCATGGTGTTCACATTACAAGTTCGTGGGGAACGTAGGCGCGCGTGCCGGACGTGGCATGCTATGTTTCATATCCGGAGCTAAGCGGAACCTTCCTGTATTAAAGCGTTAACCGTTTATTTCGTATATTGACCAGGGGTGCGTTTAAGGCTCTCTTGTACTTCCGCTTACGTTCCCATACAAATATGCATCGAGAGTAAGGACTCGCTCGCTTGATTTTAAAATCACGGAAAATATTGCTAAGATGAGCAGTCTATAGCTAGAGCCATGGCGAGAGAGCTAGTGAGATAAAAGGTCACATCCTTGACCCTATTTTTTCTTACAAGGGTGTACTCGATAGTTTTTAAGATACCATCACAAAATATGCATGCAGGATTAAGTTATTCCATATATATCTACAAGAATATAACTGACAAAGTTTTTATTCGTGTTTTTACGTTATAATTATTAAACAGGTACGAGGTCGGCTGCCTCTTATTTTTTCCATAAAGAGGAGAGTGAACAATTGCCCAAAATCGTCTTATGTAAGAAATAGATGATGTCGAATGAAAAGTAGGTATGTTTCTTTAGCTAAACTATCGAAGTCAAATCCTGAGTTTAAATAGCAACTTAATTAAAAGACAATAAATTCCTTCATCATCATCAGCTTATTGTTCTGAGAGAACGGACCCTAAGACTACGCGCACACTGTTGATTTTTTGTCACTTGAGATCGTGACATTGTTTCTATCACCGGCTCCTGTCTTTCCTATGGAAGCTGCTTAATTTTTACGTGTTGAATGAGCGTGGCACCTCCAGACCTTTTTAATTACCTTTTGAAGTATCTAGGTTTTATTTGATTAAACTTCTATGCATTGTTGATGCGTTTCCCATTGATGTATGAAGGTTTGCTTAATTTTTTCAGTTATTGATTGGCTGAAGTGATGTAATAATACTGATCGTGATGCATATATACTATATTACTATTTATAAATTGAAGCTAGAATGAGTTGTTTGTATAGCTGGATGTAAGAAACGGTTACACAATACTTAGTACAAATTATTATCTTGTGTACAATGCTTTATACACAAACCGCCCGCGTCGGCACGCGTCGCCACTTCCGGTGGTTCCGGCGGTCGTCCGGATATTTCTGATAATCACTTTATGTTGCTAATTTTCCTGGAACTTGTGTAAGTCATCATCCTATAAAGCAAACCATTAAATTAAAACAAATAAATTTAAATTACACCAGGCTTTCACATCATAATCAGTGGTAGATTAAGGGGTGGAGGAGAGAGCAGAAGGTGCTGCAGCATCCATCGAAATCATGAGTTAAATGTAATATCAAGTTTCTGCCCCGTTTGAAAAAAGTTATCCAACCAGGCCTATTGCCGCCCCGAAACTCCGATGAAGGTAGTCCGCTATTGATCATAACATGACGAAAATTAAATATCCTATAGTCGATGCATAGTTTAAAAAAAATCACTTCCCACTGCCACTGCGCTGACATCTTTTTCTTTTAAATCCAAACTTTTATTAATTATTATCTTTGTTACACGACAAGGTTACATAATTCTTGTTAAGCCAATACCAATGTTCTTATCCCTTATCTTAGCCAATACAAATCAAATAATAATAATAATAATAAAAATTTATTTTCTCATCCCACAGAATAGTGTATTACATGCTAGTAAGTTACAAACACAGTTGTTCTTGAGGTTCTGGTGTGATACTGATGCCTAAGTTAGATAATCAGAAGAATACCTGTATTAAAGGTCATCAGCACCACTCGCAGGCCACCACTCACACACAGGAATGGTATATTGGTGGTAGCGTTTTATACATTGATAAATAAACGTTTTACGAACTGTAAGTACTATAAAGAGATATAGTTGAATGTCTGTATGGCAGCTTGACTAGAACCTTTAGAACAGCTCTCTGTGCCCTTTCCATTTCTATTAAGTATGTTTTTGCAGCGCCACCCCATGAACAAATACAATAATTGATAAGACTATGACAGAGTGCATCATAAGTTCGAAGTAGAAGTGTCTTGTCAGCAATATCTCGTAGACTTTTAAACACAATGATTAATTTCCTTATTCTTCCAGCTAATGTTGTGGAGGAATGTGCAAAGGAGCTCAAATACGATGGATTATTTAGGTTATATGGCTACTGTTCTTGTTGTTCAGAAATGCATGAAAAAAAGTTTTAACAATTATCTCCAGGTTTAATAACATTTAATACTTTTATAAAAATTGTCTTTATACAATTATCGACTTATTTGCATCACAATAATAAATTATCTAGAATCATATAACGAATAATAGTTAAAGCATTCGTTTAACTCCAATGAACACCACCAAAAACGTATATCTATTTAATTAAGTGATTCGCGATATTAATTCGATTATTGCCACTCGTAAAAAAGTTACAAAACAGACTTTAATCGCGCAAACGACTCTGCGTCACGAACCGCAGTCGTTACCATGAAGCAATTTGGGTTTTATCACTACTGAAATAGAGATTATGTTGGTTTATCATGATAATCCTCTAATTACAATCATGCTTTCACGGTTGCACGCCACACGACCGCCGTTGCAAATCCGATCTTATTCTATCCCCACTAAAAGTCATTTAGAAGAAGTGTGCTGTTAATTACTTTGTAGCAACGTTAATAAAATTGATCTTTGAGTATATGACACAAAGTTCAGATTCACTGATTTCGGGAAACAGCGCCATCTATTGAGTAATTGGATTAAGTGTGTACATCCGGAATCTTAATTTAATTAAAATTGGAGCGTTTTTATCGCGCGATCGCGCGTGCCTCTGAGTGTTGCCACGCTCCGATTGTTCGTTCGTAGATTTCCTACGTTTTGTCGTTATCAAACTGTCACTTAATTATCGCAATTGAATTTGGGACGCGTGCACGGAAAATATTGTTCTTCTATTAAATTTATATATATATATAGATGTAGTTTTTACTGCTTCCCGGGATGTTATATTAAAATAAGTAGTCGCCAGTTCAATGAACAGAGATGTCACCAAATAGGTAGACGTTTAATTTGAGAAATTTTATGATGAGAAACTTAATTATTTTGTGAAATATAATATAATTTACAAACTGTTTCAATAAAATATCTTATTCACTAAACTTTTCACAAAGCGCTTAAACTTTTATGTCTAATTTCTACAGGCAGTAAGGTAATTTTTTGTATTATTTATTACCTATATTACCTGTGATTTATATACACATCAGTTAAAGACTTTCCAAAATGATAAACAGACTCAATTATTTATATCCATATTGGAACATGTAAAATATCATAGCATGATACTTCACGGTTAAGTGCCCCAAAAAATGGTAGCATTAATGACAGCTTACGAGGTAATTTACGCAAACTGTTAGTTTTTGTAAACAGATAACATGGCAACACGCATAATCGCTGGCGCGCGCCAAAAATGAGTTGGTTTTCTTTTTCGAAAACAACAATTAGTCAAATTTGAAACAGCAGATGTTTCGGCGGGATAATCAATTTTATACAGACCAACAATTTTTTTTCTGCTCTACTGATGATACTTACAAAGTAGACCTTAACTCCTTCTAATAAATTCTACAAATATTTTTTTAATAATAAATTTATTTTTGGGTTAATAAATTCTAAAACATACAAATTATAAAATTTGAACCCTATTAGAAATCCGTAGAGTTTGTCAGTGGGGAAGAATGGCGTCATATGACATTTTGTGTTTTAATTGTTGTTGTTATTGGGATGCGTAACGAAATAGTTAATGATGTGTTTAATTACCATTATGCAATTATTTTATTCGAATTTGATGGGCGTTATAGACATTGATAGGTAAACACTCACGCATTTACGTAATTAAGACTTTGGGCATAGTAAAACCAAACCTATTCTCCCTTGAGCATGCATTGAGCTTACGTCTCACTAGTGGCGGATTACCGATGATTTAGTAAATAAACGATGTGAACTTAGAAAAGACAATGTTGCCATAATACTATGTCAATATTATACAAATGGTTGGCCTAAATATGTAATTAATGAACCAGTTATTGCTAAATAGTACTTTGAACTAAAAAACGATATTACTTTTGAGGATGATTTATCGTCAATTAACAAAAAAAAAAAACAGAAACATAAAAAGAAAAGTTGTTTATGATTGTCATTTAGGAATGACCAAAACTAAAACCAGAGGTAAAACATTATTTTATTGTAAAGGCATGTATAAGGACATAGATGAGTATATATTTGCATATAAGACTTGTAAGATGTTTTCAAAGAATAAAAGAACCTATGATTGTTAGAGGTCAAACTGATTTGCTTTTCTAACATGTATTAATTGATATTTAATAGTATGACAGTAATGATTACTTAACTTTACTTGATCATTATTCTAAATGTATAGAATTCCATAGATTGTCTTATAAAACTGCTGAAGTCACCAGTGAAATTTTAAAAAACATTTCTTCTATATATGGCATTCCAGAACTGGTGTATTCTGAAAATGTTCAATTAAATGTATTCAAGTTTTTAGGTAAAAATGAAATTTTAAACCAAATTTTTCGAGTCTAAACTATCATCAAAGTAACGATTACTT